CGATATTACATTCTTTTGGTAAAGTTCCGTTGGATTATTTTCCCGGTGTGTAGATGTCCATTCTCCTTCGAGGTTTTCCATAGAAATATTTTTATTTGTCACTGCAGCGTCTTGACAAGAAGAGTCATGACAAGGCACGTTACTTGTAATATTTACTAACTGGCATCGTGACCACAGGGGATGGCACGTTTCCGTGACACTCTGAAAAAATGGCTTAAAACGAGCTCTCTGTGTTATCGAACGAATTAGATAAACGAAATCAGCAGGAAAATATATATTTATTTTTTTGTTGAATAATTTATCAGAAGGCGGTGTCTTCCAGAACTAACACACTGGCAATGAAATGACAATCTTTATACAAAAGATATAGTTCGGTAGTTCATATACAATGAATCAACAATACTTTATTCCAATTCATGCTTTTGTCTCCAGCTAATTCTATTCACAATTCAATAAAACAGTGTCCACTTTTTTATTTATATTTTCATGAAAACAAACAATCGCAGCTTTTATTTTCCTCTAATAGGGTATTGCTGAGCTCACTGACTTTTTAAAAGCTAGCTACAAAGAGAGATGGCTGAATTTAATCGCGCAGTTTTGTATCAACTATGCGAAGATTACCTGCATATAATGCTATGCTCAATCTATCAGCATAACTACAATAAGTCATAAATTCTAGCTACAGACATATACCGTTCGCTATAAACCTTCTGCTCTTCGCTGTATATCTTTGGTCCAAATTTCATTCGTTTATTATTTTTATCAATATCGACGATATTAGGGGCGTCATTTATACACACATACACACACCATGAGTATCTACTTATATACACTTACATATCTGTCTACATATACACAGTTCTATTTCTATTCTGTGATAAGGAAATCCTTAATTTTTGCCTACTCTACCCTTTCATGATTGATATATATCTATCACGTCACATCGATAGCATATAGGACATATATAACAAAGGGATAGTTATATTCATTTAACGAGGTTAGTATTCGCTAAACTACCACGGTCGCAATAAACACCTATTTGATATTGACACAAAGTCATTCATTAAAACTGTATATACAGTGATTATATAAATCATATTGATGGTTAGTATTAGACCTTTTTTAACATTTCACCAAGTAAACAAATCAATTTATGTGAATTAAGTGTCTGATACTGACATGTATGCATGTAAAAGAAAAATCAAATGGCCCAAAAGCGCCTCTGAAATTTCTTAAAATCACTGCACTTGCTTTTGTGCTGGCGGTCTTCCCCAAACTAGGCATCTGAGGAAATATTAAACCAATACCCCTGGACAATCCTTGGTACTGTGCGGCGCTATTTATATGGTTATTATTCACCATGAACGCGACTACAGAGAAACTAGTTGAAACACTGCACAATGAAACGTGAGTAGATATAAATTGACGTTTCCAATCATTTAAATACCTTTAAAAGCCTCACCTTCAAAACAGTAGACGAAATCAGACAGCAGGAGAGTGATTAAACTTATTTATTTACAATGAGTGCTCTCCCTTTTGAAGCCTAACCTGACTAATGGAGAGCCGAAGAGAGGTAACCCTAATTTCTCCATCGTTACCTCATTCCTAATTTTTAGTCCTTTGGTATGTGTAAATTCACAAAAAAGTATACTATATATACAATTATATACTATATATACTATATATACAAAATTATACAATTCACACAAACAGACGTCTAATTAACAATATCTTCATTTTGTTGATGCATTCCATATTGATTGGAAGGGTGAAATGTGTATATAAATGTATGTACTGCCTAAAAACCGTCATATTCCATTTTCTTTGAGGGCATGGTAGCTTTGTTATGAAAATGTCCCAACCTTTAGATTTTTTTAATGACGCACATTTTGTAGGTCGTGTACATGTTATCTCTGAAACAAAGTTAAAAAAAACACTAGGTAAATGTCATTTTTTCAGTCAATTTTAATACGGAGTGGACTTAGGACTAAAAGGGAGTAAAACGGTAATAATCTTTTTGATATATCTTTGTGGAACTTCATGTCTTGTATCATATGGATGTAACTGTGCATGGACCTAGGCACCTGACGCAATTACATATTCGCGTTCTTCTGATTACACACACACACACACACACACACACACACACACACACACACACACACACACACACACACACACATATATATATATATATATATATATATATAATATTATATATATATATATATATATATATATATATATATATATATATATATATATATATATATATATACATTATATATATATATATATATATATATATATATATATATATATATATATTATATATATATGTGTGTGTGTGTGTGTGTGTGTGTGTGTTGTGTGTGTGTGTGTGTGTGTGTGTGTGTGTGTGTGTGTGTGTGTGCGTGTGTGTGTGTGTGTGTGTGTGTATGTGTGTGTGTGTGTGTGTGTGTGTGTGTGTGTGTGTGTGTGTGTTGTGTGTGTGTGTGTG